CCCTCTTGCAACAAGTTTTGGAGGTGTTATATGAATTTGAAGAAGGTTTGTGTAATTAAAGGATGACCTACACCGCAGAATTTTAAATATGTTTGAAGCTTTCATGGGTTGGATTCATTTTATAGGAGGTTTATCATAACTCCGACACTATTACGAGCACTATTACTTAATTCTTTAAGATGGACAGCTTCAAGTAACCAAAATCAGCTAAAACGCCTTTGAATCGGTTAACATTTTGATGATGGAATCACTTGTTCCTGCACTCCCAGATTTTAAGAAGTTACTTCTCATCGAATGTGATGCATCTTAGGTAAGATTCATAAGAAATGGAGTTGTTCTCTGTCAAGAAGGCCGACTGAACATTTTAGTGAAAAAGTTATTTGATGCAAAATAGCATTATTCCACTTACGATCTAGAGTTTTATGCTTTGGTAAGGACTGTTCAACATTGGGAGCATTACTTGACTTCTTGGGAATTAGCAGTTTACTCGAATCATCAAGCGTTGGAATTTTCAAGTTCAAAGAAAAGGAAGGGTTGTCATGCTAAGTGGGGTTCTTATCTAAATGACTTTAATTTCTTAGTGAAATACACGACCAATGAAACTAATGTTGTGACAGATAATCTTGGTAGACGATCTTTAGTACTAATGGAAATGAGTGCGGAAGTGATGGGTTTTGAGGAATTGAAGAATCAATAAAAAAAATTGACCCATATATTGGCCCTATGATTTCTGAATTGGAAGGGTCGACTAAACATGAAAATTGGGTTTATCAATTACATGATGGGTATGTGTTAAGAGGCAATCGTTTGTGCATCTGAAAGGTTCTTTAGGTGAGCATGTTATGAGGGAACTTCATGAAAATTGCTTGGGAGATCACTTTGGAAGAGGTAAGACCATGGTTAGTGGTCGATCGATATTTTGGGGGGAAATGTACAAGGATGTAAGCAAGTTGGTGAAAAGGTTTCCTTGTCAATTTGGCGAGGGTAATTCATAAAATATAGGGTTATACACTCTGTTGTCTATGCCAAAGGTGTCGTAACTCATTTGAGCATGGATTTTGTCTTGGGATTACCAAAGAAAACATAGGGTTAAGATTCAATCTTTGTTGTGGTTGTTGGGACCGTCGGCGCACCCCATGGCGCAGCGGAAACAAAACTCGACGGTCTCACCAACGATCCAAGTACGAAAAACTGAAATCGGAAGGAAGAGAGCGGGTTCCTTGAAAAAAAGCAAGGAAAGCAGTGAATTCTGGTGGTATAGATCGGTTCGAATCGTAAGCCTCCACGAAATCACGTCTCGGCCTCTACTCAGTTCACCCGATTGAGAGCAACTTTGTTTTCCCCCAAAACAGTTTTGAGAGAAAGTGGCTGAAAGTTTTGCGTGTGTTCTCACAAAAACGGCTGTTAGACCTAACACACCCTTTTATAGCCCAGTTACCCTAGTCATATTAGGGTTTTTATTATTTCAAATTAATTAAATCTATATTTAATTAATTGGAATTTAATAATCCTTTTATATCTAAGTTACCCTAATCATATCAGGGATTTTATTATTTCAAATTAATTAAATCTATATTAATTGAAATTAAATATTCGGGATTATTAAAATATATACTTAATTAACTCTAGATATATTTTAGTAACATACAACAAATTGTACATCTTTGCTCGTTTCAATCTTAGGGTGTGACCCTGTAGGTTCTTGTAACATTAGAAGTAATTATTAGAACAATTCTAATATTACATACAATGAGTGACATCTAGCAATATATCAATTGTCACCTAAGTTACAAGAAAATATGATTCGACATATCATCTTGGTGATTAACTCTTTTATGTATTATATCTTTATGTCATTTATATCTAGAATAGGCACAAGTCTTGGAATAGTCACACTTGTATAGCCCATTTATTGTTTCTTGATTTCTAGAGTAGACTTTAATTAACGAATAGTTTATGATATCTCATATCAACTTATTCGAACATGGCCATGCGTTTCTAGTCTTACTCAATCAAGTGGCCTGTGATATATTTCCTATTATGTAGGAAGGGCATATCCTATCTTAATCATACACACCCACTACATATATTGAGATATATTCAATAACAGTCTTTATAGAACAACCAGTTACGGAGCTTGTTTAGCTGCATCAAAACATACAACAATATATGTTGGGATAGTATTGATCTCAAGTCTGAGGATCATACATATAGTCATCACCATGAGCAATGTTATGAGTGTCACATAATAATCCAAGACATATGCTCATGGTGGGTCAATCCAATACATTGTTCTCTAACAATATAATCATGTATCAATTCTGACATCTCTATGTCAATGACAACTCGTTGTCATCAATCAATAACATGTTAGTCTTAAGCGTATTATTATTGTCCATGCCCATAATAATACTTGACTAGGGATCTTTTAATAATAATAATTATGTCATTATATGGACTTTATTATCTTCCAGTTTATGTTAAACACATATATATAACTGAAAATAATAGCAGCAATGCCTTTTATTCAATAAAATCGGTAAATAAAAGTATTATTACAATCATCATATGATTGGTCTTTGGGTATACTCTAACAGTGGTGGACGTGGATCGTTTCTCGAAGACGACACACTTCATTCCTTGTTCAAAAACTTCTTACGCTACTAATATTGTGTGGCTTTCATGTGTCTATAATTTCAAATACAAAATGTTAAAGAAAAACAAAGGCTATTAACCATCTGATTATCAGAGTTTAGGAAATATGCTTAGGTTTCATGTTGGAAATTTAATCATGTGAAGAGTAAGGATTTGGTTATTACTGAATTCAAGTGTTGCATACAATTATGTGAATAGAACAATTAAGATTACACCTTTTGAACTACCTATGGACTAAAACCTCAACTTGTGCTTGATTTAGATCCTTTTCCAATTGGGACTAGGGTGAGTGGAGATGGATAAGCATTTAATGATTATATACCACAAGTTCATGAAGAATTGATGGTTGCCTTGAAAGCAATCAATGAGATAGCTAATATACATAATCCAATTAGGATGTTTGAAGACAGAGACTCAGATCTTGAACATATAAGGCAAGAAAGGTTTCAAAAGGGCACTCATCAAGTTAAAGAAGTTTGGGCCATGTAAGGTGTTGAATAAAATAAGCTCCAATGCTTATTTGATCAAGTTGCCTTCAGACTTGCATATCAACCCAGTTTTCAACGTGTCTGACTTGTAATCTTTTGCTGGTTTTGATGGGTCTTGTTAAAATTTTAAATATGCATATGAAGCTAACTAAGGTGAACACTGAGGTTATTGAAGATTTGTTGAATGTTAAAAGCTAAGATCTAGAAGGGGTAATCTATATAGGAGATTTTTGGTGAAATGGTTACGCAAATCAGCTAGTGAAAGTACTTGGGTTGCAGAAGAGTTGAACCAAAATTTTATGTTAAAGTTTTCTCGTCAGAGTCAAATTTTCCAGCAGGAGAGAATGGTGCAGGAGCTTTATTTATTTTATGATATTTTATTATTCCAATATTATTAAGTATTAGACTATAGACTGCTACAATTATAAGTTTCTTTAGGTTTTAAAACTAGGATTATGATTAAAACTTATTCTTATCTTCTTGAATTAATAGAGACTAGAAAGTTTCAAGAGTTCCATCTTCTTTCTACTAATTTTCATTCTTAATTCTGTTGATTAACCGCAGATCTTCTTGTAAACCACACCAGAGTTCCATTAATCCTACTAAACTGATAAAGCATCAAAGCTAGTTGCATATCTGTAAACGGTCAAATGCCTAGCATGTATATTTTCTTTAACCTGCAGAGCTAATTTCCAATATATATTTTGTTTCATATAAACTCTTACAAAATGTATTCAACTTAAATTGCAATTTAGTATAACTGAAACTAACAAGTTGTATTATCCAAAAAACAAAAAGGAAAATAACAAGTTAATATTTTTAACATATGATATGATAGAACACCGAGAAATACGTTGATTTATGGTTGTAAATATTATGGTACAGAGTTAAGCCTATAATGGGATCAATAGAACAATAAATCTTCATTGCTCTACTTATTCATAAAATTCTTCTATTACATAAGGGTGCACATTTGACCAGCAACAAAGGAACTTGAAATTCTATAACTGGAAGCGTATTGTTTTACAAAGATGACTCATGCAAATGAAAGCACGGGAATAAAACATGCAAGTGTTTTTCTCTTTCAAAGAATGATGACAAAATGATCAAACCATGCTGCGACATGGAAAAAGCTATTACTTATCGCGGTACAGATATTTACAAAATGAGAAAAGGGAACTAATTTGTTCGCCTTACTCCCATACCTTGCAATCTATTCCTAGATTATTGGATAAACTGCTTTCTGATTTCTAGCACAATGCAATAAAAGAGAAATAACCAAGAAAAAAAGGATCTATCTAATTACAAACAAAACGAGAAACAAGAATACCAAATACTTTTTTCTTTTCTTATCTTTTTCCCCTTATTAACACTTGCCTTTAGTTTTCCAAAAGTTGCTGAAAGAAAATTCATGTTTGGGTTTAACCAAGGAGATAACTTTATGTCGCACACAAATAAACAATCATCAATGTCAAAACAGTTTCATGTCTAAATATGTAATTCAAGCATTAAAATATTTTTTATCCAATCATAACAACCAAAGCAAAAATTTGGGGTTCATATGCAAATAAATCAGCATATGAAACAGTTCTAAAAGCCAGAAAAATCAATTGCAAAGATTAAAATAAATCATATTCTCCTCTTTTTGCTACTATTTTACCAGAAAAAAAAGTCAAGGATTCATACGTAAAATAGACCGAACAATGGAGACCACCAATCCAAACTCTGCTACCCTCAAACTTAAACGTATCAAGAAAAAAATAAAATCTAATGCAAGATTCACAGATTACAAGCAGCTAAAATGTACAGTAAAGAAATAAAATTAGAAAGAGAGAGAATTAAGAACGATTTAGTTACCTTGGAGAACAATAGACGGCTTGGGTTGGAAGAGAAGCGAAAGGAGAGGTTGGAGAGCTGAAGGTTAGAGGAAGGAGGCAAAGTAGCGGTGGTTTTAGCAACGGAAGTGAAGGCAGCGGAGGCTGTTGTTGAGAGTGAAGACGCCATTTATTTATTTATTTATTTATTTTCAAGCGATTGGATTTGTAGGAAAGAAGAGACTGTTTAAAAGAGAAACAGAGAAGGAGAGGAGAGGAGAGGAGAGGAGAGGAGAGGGCTTTGGGGAATCCGTCGAGAAGAAGAGTGGATGAATTTAAATTTTTTAAAGAAAATATATAAATATTTGTTAAGTTGTTAAAAAATAAATATATAATAAATATAATTTGATCAAATATATATTCTAATTATTTTTTATTTTTTTAACTAAATACGGTAATCTTATATTCCTGCTAAACCAACCAAACACAAAATACAATATTCTCAGTAATCTTATTCCTGGTAATCTTTTATTCTCACTGATTATCTTATATTCCGTGAACCAAACGCACCCTTAGCGTTAGATGAAATCTAGGAGAGACGAGTTTCTACTAATCTGCCATTTAGCCCTGTTAATTTAACTTTGGGTAAAGTATACAAATATTCCCCAACTATAGAACACTACTTTTTTTAGTCCCTCAATTATTAAAAGTTGTAAAATAATCCCTAAACTATAATGCATTATTTTATTGAGTCCCTTTAATATTAAAAGATACAAAATAGTCACTTGGCTATTTATAAATTCTAAACTTGTCTTTTTTTTTTTGATAAAAATTTGATGGACGTCTAAGTTGGGCATTAACCAATTGATTGAGATATGATAAAATCATATTTTATTTATGTTTCCTGGCACTATCTTTGCTTTCAGGTACTGGCTCGACGACATAATATTTCAAGAACTGGCTCGATGACATAATTAAAATAGAGAGTCGATTCAAAAAAATATAACTTAAACATTTCTGGGATCATATTTTATCATATCTTAGTCAACAAGTTAACATCCAGCCCAGATACCCAAAAATATTTTAACTGAAAAATGATGAATCTAGAACATATGAATAGTCGAGTAACCACTTTTTAAAATTTTAATAGTCGAATGACTCAACAAAGTAGTACCTTATAGTCAAGGGATCAATTTGTAACTTTTAAAAATTGAATGACTCAACAAAGTAGTACCCTATAATCAATGATCATTTTACGACTTTTAATAGTTAGTGGGCTCAATAAAGTAATATCTTATTAGTCAGGGGAACATTTAAATTCTTTACCCTTTCATTTTTAGGGTAAACTACACATTTACTACCATAACTATCACTTTTGTTCCGTTTTAGTCACTCAATTATTTTTTTTAGAATCATACCTATCTTTTAGTTTTGGTTTCATTTTGGTCACTCGTCGTTAAAAATTAACGATAATGCTGACGTATTACCATAAGATAATACCACGTCATCATTGAAAAAAATAAAAAAAAATGTTGCATCAACAATTTTGTTAATTATTTAACAGTGGATTACTAAAATGAAACCAAAACGTAGTGTTATGTATGGTTTTTTTTTAAATAATTGAGTGACTAAAACGGGAAAAAATGATAATTGAGAAATTAAATGTATAATTTACCTAAATTTTTATTTATAAAAAATAATTTTTAATATACTTGTCATATTATTAGGAAAATTTTACTGTGAACGTCGCACACCGAAATACACTACTAATACAATTGTAACAACCTGAAAAATTTTGAAGAAAAAAATTATTATTAATTAAGTAATTTGGTGAAATTTAGTGACTAAAATAAAATTTATGAAAACTTATAGGCCATTTTAAATGTAAAGAAAATTGAGGGACCAAGCCCTGAATTTACCCTAAAATTGTTGGCAGCTTTAGTGTTATAAGTGTATTTTCTGATTTCAAATCAGAAAACACATGATTTTGCTTAAACTTTGCTCTCCCATACCCCTTCCTTCAAGCTCAATTCCGACGTTGCCCGAGCTCCAATCGTAAAATTAAAACCACCGTCGTGTTCATCTTCGACCCGTGATCAAAACTCAGTAAACCAATTATAGCAAAACGCTGCCAAACGACGTGAATTTCGAGTCAAAGTCTCAACTTTTTTTAGCACCACCGCCGAGAAAATCTTAAATTCATCTCCGATCGTTAATCGGTTTTCGACACCTCCCGCACCATCGTGTTCCTGGTGTCATTCCGAGTCCGACGGTGTCGTCCTTGTCTCCGTAGGCGGCGGCGCGTGTGGGAGGTGGAGCGGTCAAAGATTCGACCGAGTTGAAATCGAGCTCTCCACCGTTCAAAAATTTGAACCGAGGTTGGTAAGTGACACAAAATCGCTTAAAATAATTTTTGGAAATTTTTGTAGGAATTTTTGGAGACCGGAGGAGGTCTCACGCGCCGGGAAAGATGCGAACGGCGGGTGATGTTGTGACCGGCTTAACCGGTCTAAACCGGTCTGAACCGGGTTGACCGGTCTGTCACGACCCGTTGACCGACCCGTTGACCCGACCCGACCCGATGACATTTTGAGAATTATTTTAAAAAAAGTGACATTCTGGGAATTATAAAAAGGTGATATTTTGGGAATTATTTTGAAAAAAGGTGACATTCTGGGAATTATTTTGAAAAAGGTGATATTTTGGGAATTTTTGAATGTAGACTATTGAACCCCTTTGACCATAACTTTGGTCGGCTTTAAACGGTCATTAAACGACATTTGATTTTGTTCGAGTATACATATTCTGACATTTTTTGACGTGCCGAATCCGTTTCTGAAATTCGTTTTGCCAAATTGAAACCTAAAGGCCTCCAAATCATCAGTCAAACTCGTTGACTTTGATTTTGACCAAGAATTTGAATTTTTGAAAAGTCATACTTTATGTTTTTCGACGTCCTGATTCCGATTTCGCAATCTGTTTGGTCAAATTCAGACTCGAAATCCTCCAAATTGATAGTCAAACCCGGAAAAATGCTTATATACTTAAGAATTTTAGCTTTGATCAATTAAATAAGACTTGGGGTTGATAAATTATTATTGTTTGAAGGTACAAGAGACTCTCCGGATCGTTCGACAGCTCGACCCAGCTCTTCTAGATCAGTTAAACCACGTGTTCCAGTATTCACCCGTAAGACCCGTAAATTTTATGATTTTAGAGATTAATTATGTTACCCATTAGTAATATAGTGTTACTATAAATTAGGTTCGAAAACTGTAGTAGAGCGTGGTGAGACCAACAATCAGTAGATCTACTACTTGAACCTATTATCGAGGTGTGTTCCCTATTTATTAATGTGCTGTTTTATTTGTTTTAATATGTAGTACACTGAATTCTTTTGTTACTGTTTTATTGATGCACCGATTTAATGTGATGGTTTATGGATTATGATTGCTATCTGATTTTGTTTTGAAATGGTATATGATTATCATGTTTATGGATTTATGGAATTTATGTCACATTGCAATTGAATTTTTGGAATACGAATTTATAAAGTACAACCCTGATCAAGCTGGAAAATTTTATGGACCTAATGTGACTCTTAGGTAGGCTCTGCGGCCCTGAGATCATTATCGAGTAGGCCCTGCGGCCCTAAGATGTGTTCTTAGGTAGGCCCCACAGCCCCAAAATCTATCTTGGGTAGGCTATCAGGCCCTAAGATGTTCCCTTAAGGTAACTCTTTTATGAGATTTACTGTAGTATAATTTTTATGAGATTTACTACAGTATAATTTTTATGAGATTTACTGGACTATGATTTGTTTAGTGTACCTATCATGATTTTATAGTAATGTTGGGACACACTGAGCCTAGCTCACTTTTCGAAAATGTTTTCCCCTTTCAGATATTGTTGGTTAGATTCACCTGATTGAGCACTTGGAGGATCAACATATCTCTTGAAGTATATCGTATTGTAATGTTTTATCTTTTAAGTTGACACTATTTTGGTAACATGGGCCTTATTTTAAAGTATTGGATTTTATAATGATTACTCCTTTGCTATTTATATTTGGTTTATCGTAAATTTGGATTTTTAAGACATGTTTAAATTAATTTGTTTTTTTTCATTATATTTTATGAGTTGTATTTTTATAGTATAAATTATTATAATTTCATAAACGTCATTTATAATGTGATTTTACCATGATTGAATAATGGTTTTGGAACAATATCTTTAAGAATCATGAATGTGATTCACTAGACTTAGTTGAAACGCATAGATCGGGTCTAGGGAGTTACAACAACACAGTGAAACACACTAATTATAATTATCTTTATTAAGTAAATATTAAAAGGGTAAACTACATATTTAGTACATAAACTATCATTTTTGTTTCATTTTAGTAACTAAATTTTATTTTATTTTCAAAATCATAACTAACGTTTAGTTTAAGTTTTAATTTGGTACCCCACTATTAAAAACTTAATGGAGATGTTAATGTGGCATGACGTGCCAATTTATTATTTTTATTTTATTTTCACATCACCTTTTTCTATCAATTTTTTTAATTAATTTTATTCAACCAATTAGGTGATGACACGTGTCATCATCTATGAGGATAAAATAAAAGAAACCATTCTTGCTCCCAACATGAATTAAACTCGGGCCTCTTGCATGAGATGTTAGGCCCTCAATCATAGAGTTAAGCTAATCATTTGAGTTAATTGATAAACGCAACATGAATTAAACTGTCATTGCCAAATCTATAGGTTGTATTTTATCCATTATATTGCGCCATACAATAAATTTATAGCGACTAGTAATTGATAAACGCAAGACCGCTAAACAAATATTTTTACTTTTATTTTGAGTAAATTACGTATTTAATCATCTAACAATTTTTTTTAAAATTATTTCTAACATTACATTTTGATTTTATTCTGGTCACCTACCATTAAAAAATTAACAGAACTATTAACATAAAAAATTAATTTTTTTCAATGATGACATGATATAAAAACAATAGTTGAATGATCAAAACAAAACCCAAATAATAATTGAATAACTACATACGTAATTTACCCTTATGTTTTTACATACCAACCAATTACAAAATTACGTAACAATTATTTTGGTATTTTTCCACGTCGTTTTACACTACAAACACAAGTAATAAAACACCCTTGAATATTCATTTAACCTAGGATTTTTCCTTTGATTTTGTTATGCAAGTATTTAACTTGGT